TAAAACATCGAAGTTAACCATTTAAACTTTTAATATATGTTATTTAATTTTAAGATAATATATAAAATTTATATTTTGTATATATCAATACATATGCTTTTATATATACGAGATTTTAATTTTTTTTAATATTAAGCTCTAATCATTTTCTTTTATATATGACAATCATGCAAAATTAATTTTTTTTAGAATTTTTTTTTTATATTTTTGAAGAAATACATAGTAGATGTTATAATATGAAATCATGAATACATATTATTTATGTATTAAATTTTTATGATGAAAACTATAAATACATTCAATGTTTTTAAATTAATTTATCTACTTTACTGACTAGTTAAATAGAACGAAGTGTCTTCAAGGATATATTTTCTAACTCTTTTTTACAACATATAGAGAACATATACTTTTGCCAAAAGCTTGTTTTATGTTTATACCTAATTAAATTTAATACATAATACTAATTTTTTTTTTTCCTAAAGAAATTTATTGTTTGAGTTAATAGATATAAATGCATTTATACATATACATATATGATACATTTAAAAACAAAATACATACCAATAGGAGGTGAAAAACTGTAGTGATAAGCAATACTAAATCCCACCAATTCACAAGAATTGTCTCTAAACTGTCTACCAAAATATTAGTACTGTCAATCAAGATCTAAGAAGAGATTTTCGCTTTATTTTTTTAGTGTAATTATTAATTTAGGATCACTTAAAATATAAATACAATAAATGAAGAACTAGTTAAACTATATATATATATTTCTTCATCAATTTACAGTGATCCTCATGGTATATGCAGTAATTTTCAATCATTTATACTGAGCGCAGCGCCATCATCAGTTCTGTTTGTTATTATATTGAATTTCTAAATATGAATTTATTCATGATTAATGTCTAATCATTTCAATAATACGCAAATCTCCATTTCTTGTGGGAACAAACTTCAAGACATTTAATTTTTTTATAGTACTCGTATTTTATCTCTTCACATAACTGAAGTACTGATCATATTATTTCTAATTATACCGATATAATTTAAATCGTAGTAATTATTAAAAAATTTTGCTAAAAATTTGTCATAATGTATCTAATTTTACGTACATACACTTTTGTAATATATACAAAATATAGTTATATAGAAAGATTGTTTGATAGATAATGTTTAGATTAGGAAAATTTTGCGAGTTTAATATTGTAGTTATGTATTAATAAAATTGATAATTATTTTTAATTTATTTTTCCTAAGTTCAAGGGTTTGGGAGATATATATATTTTTTTTTTGTATAAACATCACAACCAAACCGTACTATATTACTTTTGTTTTAAATTTAAGGTTATGTCTCATTAAAAAAAATTAATATTATAATTTTCACTGTATTTAGTTTCAGATACACTATATAAATTAACAACTATAACTCTTTTATAGTACTTAGTAATGTTGTAATATTAATATACTAATAATGACTTATAAAAACAGTAAGAAATGTTCCTGTAAAATTAACATGTATAATTAAAAAAATATTGAAGTAACATATATTTAAAAATATATATTTAAAAAATATGAAAAATCATTTAAATTTGCAAAAAAAAATTAACTGAATTATCCATAAATTCATATTTCTATAAAACGTCATAAAATATTAAATAAAAATTATAAATATTAATTAGTAAAGTTAAGTGGTATATAAAATTACTAATTTGCATAGTGAAATTAATATGTAAATAAATATATTAAAGCAAAAATGCAAAATAAATTAAATTAATATGTAAAGAATTGAAAAAGAAAAAATTAATATTAGTATCAACTTCTACCATATTTAATTGTTTAAATCAAATCATAAAAATTATGTATGTTATCATGGGTTGATTAGTTTAAATATTTAAATTTCAAACTCTTTTAAATTAAAATTATATATAAAATTTTTTTTATATATTAAATAAATATCAAATGTTATAAGTTCAATTTAATAGTTTAAATCAAATAATAAAAATTAAGTTATTATGATTTAAATCATTGTTTTTCAACTGCCAATTTATTTTTTAAAAAATGATTGTTATATAGATTAAACGAAACTTTTCTTAATTATTTTGTTTTATTTCAATGGATTATTTTTTGTCTAATGAAGTATATAGTTTATATAACTATTTCGTATAGAAATTATAGAAATACACAAATTTAAAAAATAAATAGATTGGCTTTCCTGGAGACCATGAAGAAAAAAATATGTATATATATATTAAAAATCTGAAATTTCATATTTTATATGTCTAACAATAGCTGATTAGAATCAAACAATGCTCTGAGATACTACTCGAATGAAGCACTGGCTAAATTTTTATAACAGATTATACTGGTTGTGATATTTCAATATAAACTATAACCAATTGGTTTAAATTTAGTCAATGAAATCAAATGATTTTTGAATTTGAAAATGTCTATTATCAGTAAAAATTATAATAATAAATTCAAAATAGCTTTGACTTTAATATACAACAATTAAAACAAAACAACTATGTTTCTTAAAAAACAAATAAAAATAAAAGCAAAATAAATCAAAATTAAAAAACATTAAAATTTTTATTAACTTTAATTTAAAACTTTAATTTTGTATAAGCATATTCACTCTAAGCTTTCAGTTTCAGTTTACCGCTGTTGGTTCCACAATACTATAACACTTTCATTCAAAAATTGCAATAGTCATATAAAGAACACAACTATTTCTATTTAATATTTAACTTTTTATATAATAAAAATATTAAATGCCTATATAATTAATTTTTAAAACGTTCCAAACATGACAGATATTAATTATTTAAAATATATACTAGTGAGATGCATATTCCTCAAATCAAACCAACACATCAAAGGAAGAAGAAAATTATATGCAATAAGAAAAATAAAATTAGTTTCTTAATTATAACTAATATTTATTAATAACCATATTTGAAATATTTAATTTTGACCAAGTCTCCTGATAACAACTTTAGAATAAAGTTTAAATATAGAACAAAATAAAAATCAGTAAAAAATATTTAAAAATTGTTTTCTTATCATTTTTAATTAAAGTCTAATAAAATTAATGATGAATTACTCGGTTCCATTATTTAAAAATATAATATTTTAATTACTAATATCGTCCGCTTTTCGGTTATACTACCATGGTCAACTGACTTCTCCTGCCTTAGTTCTATTCTGTCATTCACTTAACAAAAAAAAAGAATAACTTTCAAAAAGAAACCTTGAAAATAAATTGGCTTTATACTTTTCATTAGTTTTAAAAAAAATATTTGTAAAAAAAAATTTATTACCAAAAACAAAAAACAAATATTAACTAACTAGTACAAAAACAAAATACAAATATTTTAATTTTAAATATATATTAATTTATATTTTTATTATAAATGTATATTTATATATATATATTCATATAAATAATTACTTTTATTATAATTTTTTTTAAATAGAGTCATAAGCGTAGCTAACTATTATATATTAAACTATAAATAATACTTGAGTTAGGTTTGTATCATTTTAATTTCTAATATTTCTATTTATTCATTTTTGTTTAAATTTTTCTATTTATCTCACAAATAAAACTATGCTGAGAAGTTTCTAAATTAACAACAAAAAAAAATATTATCATAAAAAAGTTTTATTAAATTTTGTGGGAGATCAGTAAAATTTTTAAACAAAAATAGAATAATAATAGTTTTAGAGATATTCTTTTCTTTTTTCTTTTAAATATAGATTACAATATTTACAAATGTTAACAATTAAGCTAACTAAATTAGGATATTATTAAATAAAAATTTTAAAATAAAATAAAATAAAATAAAAAATATTATTGCACAAATTAATTATAAAATATTTGCAACATAAAAACTAATTATTTATAGCAGTCTATAAGAATACGCATTGAAAGGTTTAGTACAATTTAAAAAAAAATTATTTTTTTTTGTTCTTTAAAATCACTTTTTTTTAAATGAAATTTAATTTTTCTTTGTTTGTTCGTATACGAGTTCATAAATACCAAAAATACTTGAATTATTTCAAAAAAGAATATATAATTTGTTGTTTATTAAATATTTTAAAATAATTTTAGTTTAGTTTTTGAACTTTAATTTGGTTTGGATGTTTTTTGTTTAGTGGAGACATACAAATAATAATTTCGTTGAGTGGTAATAATTTATATATAGATAAACTTGTTATATTTCAATATACACTTTAAACAGTTAAAATAAACAATTTTCATATATTGATAATAAAGTACAAATTTTAAAGTAAAAGAACTACCAAAGAGATGTGCAGATATATGTATATAATTTGTATACTCTATTAGATACTTTCATTTTAGTTTGTTTGTATTTATAATTAAATTTGTTTTTATATATAAACTTCAATTAAAATATTTATATATACTTCAAATTTCATTACATAGTAGTACGCATTTTGAAAAAAGTGGTTATTAAAAATATTTTATACAATTAAATAGTTTTTTAATCCAGATTTTAAGAGCAGTTGTAAAAGCATACAATACAATTTTTATTCATTTAATTTTTAACAATAGTTTCTGTATAGCAAATAACAATTTAAGAAACATATATTTATATATATAAATATAAATTTTAGTTAACACAACTCCACTCTCTTTTCTTCTTAATTACAAATGAATTAAAAATGAGTTTTGTTAGTAAGACCCTCTAAGAGTTTTACTAAAGACTAGTATTTGATATAAATGATGACATGATAATGAACTTCAATTGGATGATATGAGTCGAATTGAGACGATCGGTATGTTAAACTAAATATTGCATTATTTCAACATTTTTCAACATAAAAACTGCACTTCTTAAAAAATTTTAGATTATTTTTAGATATAATTTTCATATACATCAATGGACTGAATAAAATAAAAATTAGATTTAAATTAAATTATTTTTAAATAAAATATGCAAAAATATATAGTTTTAGATATGCACTTCCTCCATTGTAAAAATACCTTAAATATATCTGCAGAATATAAATTAATCAACATAAAATATATATTGACTTTTAATTTTACAAAAATTAGTTAATAGTTAAAATTATGTATTCTATTGTGTCGATTGTTCTATAATTACATTTTCATATTATAAATTGAAAGAGAAATATATTGTTGTAGCCCGCAGGGATCTGTTCGTGCAGTCCCTTTTGAATGTAACGAACAGCACTGGTTCTGCGAACTCGACAAGTGACTCCAGCCGTCTTGGAAGGAGAAATATAACAAATTTATCTTATATTTGCAAAAGTATTTTAAATAAAATACATTATGTTTACAGTGAAAGCTCTGTTACACAGAAACTCTTATGAACACACACCTATTAACCGTACAAGGTTAATAGTTCTCGGTTTTAATTTATCATATATAATGTGTTATCTTATCTGTATAACTTTTGTTGTGTGTTAATAATTTTCTAATACATAGTTTCTTAGTTGTAGACTAAAAAATCTATTCTATCTTAACCGTATTGAATCGCTATTCCCGTTAGTCTCCACATAAGAGAGCTTTCACTGCATTATAATAGGTTTCTAATACATAATTCATTAGTTGTAGAATAATAAAATTTCACATTCCCTCTCCTCCACCACGAAATTTTGTTTGGTGTTATATTGCATGACTCCACAAAAAAATGTGTAATTGATTTTGAGTAGTTCAAAAATAGAATTCTAATATAGGCTTTACATACAGCACTAATATTAATTTTAAAAATAGTACTAACTAAAAATTATTTAAAATTGATGCTAAATTATCTTAAGGAACTTAGTGATCGACTGTGTGGCGGCTTTTTTTTGCCTTTTCAACAGGTTCAAATATTATCATTTGCCAAAAGGTTTTGTTTATTTCATTTTCTATAGTTAAAACCAAAAAGTCTTTTCTGTTTAAAAAATTAAAAAATTATTAACCAAGATTAACCAAGGAAAGCAACCTTTCTATTTAAACTTTCTGCGCATTAGTAGTTTCTTTAGTATAGGCTACGTTTCGTCGCTGATAGCAATAGCACCAGCATCGGCGGCAGCAACAACTGCATTCGATAACGCATTGATTATGGATTTGTTGCAATTGTTGGTTATACTGGAAGTGTTGCAAGCGTTGCCATTACTGCTACTGTTGCCAATGCCATTGCCATTAGCATTGCCTACATTTGATGTGGTTGTGGTTGTAGTGACACTGGTCAGATGTATGCTGCCAACAATGCTTTGTTTCTTATGCTGTTGCAATGCGGCAGTCAAAGCACTGGCAACACTTTTCTGTTGTACTGGTGTGTTGTTAGGACTTATAGGAGTCAATGGAAGATTGTGTTGCTGTTGCGTTGGAGTTGTTGGACTTTGTTCTACTAATAATATATTCGTTTTAGTTGTATTATGACTGGGTGTATTGTGTATGTTGTTAGTGCAATTGTTGTTGCTGTTGCTATTACTATTGCTACCATTCTGTATTTTTTGCTGCAACAAATTTGCTGCAGTTAAATTTGTTATTGTATTATTCTGTTGCTGAGTGAATGTTATAGATTGTGTGGATTTTGTTGGTGATGTTGCTGGTGTTAGAATACCTAAATTTACTAAATTAGGCGGTAATGTTATTTTGGTAGGTGTTGTTTGTGGTGATTGTTGTAATTGCAATTTTGTCTGCAATTGCTTATTATTTAAACTTTCTACAGTTTGTTGTAATTTATGCTGTTGTGTTAATTCAACAATGTTGTTATTTCCAGCTGCTGCTGCATTTGTTGCTAGTTTTAATATCTTACTAGCTGCTGCATTTGCTGCCAGTAAATTTGTTGCTGAAGCCGTTTTGATTGTTGTTGTTCCTACTGATGTACTGTTGTTGGTTTTTATAAAACCAATGGTGCTACGCACAATATTATTGTTACCAGTGCCTAGTACAGTTTGACCATGGTTATTGATACTGTTGCTGATAGTTAAATGCGGCTGTGTTGTTTGGGTTTGCTGTTGTTGATGTTGATGTTGATGTTGTAAACTAATATTCGCTGCGGTAATTGCTGTCAAACCATTATTACCCGCAATATTATTTGATAAATGCTGCACAACAGTTGAGTTGTTTCCATTATGCAAGTTTGTACTGCCACCATGACAACTACTCGCACTACTTGACATATTACTAATACTTGAGGGACTAAGTGAACCCATCGATTGTGAGGGTGAACCACTACGTTGTAAAAGCTGAGTGTTACTGACAACATTAACAACATTCTGTTGCGTTAGTATGGTATCTGGGGTGGAGTTGTGTGCAACAATGGCATGATTTTTTAGTCCCTGCGCTGTCTTATAGCTTTTGCCACAATGACACTTATAGCCTTTCCGTACCCTGTAAAGGTAAAAAAAAAATTAAAAATCACACACAAATCCAGCAAATTAAAAACTTTAACAGAGCTCAAAATCTTGAGTAACAAACCCGGTAGTTGAACAGCATAATAACAGTGCAAAGTAGCAACAAGATTTTGACTGAATCGATTACCGAAGGCATTACTCGAGATCTTGAAAATGATTATTAAAAAAAAAATATAAACAATTTATATTTTTCGTTCTAGTATTTAAAGTACGGACGAAAAGTATGTTTATTAATTTTTCTTTAACTCAATTTTGTAGTTCTTTTTTTCTCTGGTCTAGTCTTTATAATTAAAATCAGTAAAATTTCTAAAAATTTATCACTTATTCCTTTAACTTATTCCTTTAATAATAAATATTTTTTTCAATAAATACCAACATTACTTACTTTCCATCTTTCTTATGTCCATTTTTAGAGTGATATTTTATGCCATTTACATTTTTATAACGTTTTTTACAACCCGGTACTGGACAAGCAAATGGTTTTTCATTACCGATTCCTCCATTGGCAGTGGGACCAGAGTGCCTTTACAATTTATACAAAAATTCTTATTTCAAAAAAAAATTTTATATTATCAAGTATTTTGGGGTTCACCTGCTCCCATAGCGCATAATAAATTCTGAGCTAAATTCTTCTGTTGTCCAAGAATCATTTGAATCCTCTGAGTCTGAAGCAACTATTTCATCTTCATCCATTTCACTGCCTATAAAGATTAAATAGTTTCGTAATTAATAATAATTTTGACAGTAATAAAAAGTTGACAGGAATAAATAACAATAAATAAGTTATGATAACAATAAATCAATATCAATATAAAAACAAATATTATTTATAAATAAAAAAAAAATAAATATAAATAAGTATATATTTATATATTAATACTTATAAAAATGAGATTTTGTATATCTTATAACGGCTAATATATTCGGAAATTATCTGAATTATTGTATAACAAGACATAGAAAGCTCTCATCCCCATTATCATTAACGAGTATAGCAGTTCGAGCCGAATTTTAACCGCCTCATTAGTGAGATCTGTTTCATCTTCTTCTGTTCTATATTGCTTTACACCGAATCTAGTGGTTTTTAGTCCAACATCTAATTTTATACATTATCTATCTATTTTTGTAGCGGTCTTTCTAAACCTCTTGTTCACCAAGGTTGCGTGTTTAGTATTTTGTTAAGTGTGTTGTCCTCATAGTTTCTAGAGTCTATATCCTACTCATGTTAATCGTGATATTTAAATGCCTGTATCGATATCTGCTTCGTCAGCCTGGAATCTGACGAAAGATTATTATTGCCAATAGATACTTCTATGGGCTCAGTCGACATTTGAGATGTAGAAATATCTCTCATTGTATAGGTCACATATCCTCCTGATTCTATATGCTATATATTTGATATTTAACTAACATTTAGTGTGAAGATGGAAGATGACAAACAAATAAAAGAGGTATTTAAAGAGGTATTCTTAACGAGTCTGAAGAATGCATGTACAAAACAGTAATGGCTGCAGTGGATTGATGCGTTAGGCTAACTTGTCAAGCGGTTGTTAAGATCAATCCAGGAAGTTAATTTGAAGAATCGAAAATTAAATTTATTAAGTTTTGTTAACTAGTAATTATATAATAGTTAAAAAAATAATATTCATTCATTGGAAAAACTACTACATAAACTGCGGTGATAAGAGAAAACGATATTAGTGAACAACCTTAGGAATTGACAGAATTATGTTAGTAAGAAACATAATTCAAAAATACTATAATAGCACAAACACCAGAAATACCAGAACAACGTGGTGCAAAACTATTGATACTGCAATAGTTAATAATAATAATAGCTATTGCTGGAATTGTATTGTAATGTAGCATATAATTCGGAAAAATAGAATATTTATGTCCAATAATTTTTAATAAACTCCAATATAAATATATTTTTTATATTTATATTTTTATAGTATTTAAATTATATGATACATTATAAATTAATATAAATTTATGCAAAAATAATTTGTATTCCAGCTTACCAGTGGGAGTATTGCTACGATTCGATGATGACATACTATAGCTATGATGTTTGATTGCTATCTTTCGTTTAAGTTCAACGCCCGCAGCATTACCAGCGGCAAGGAAGTTCTCCTTACGTGCATCTTCAGATATGAAGCGCAATACATAACTCAATGGGAGACAAGCAGGTTGTGCCTGCTCTTTCTGTTCAACTACTTTAGGATCATAATCTGTAAATGAAACAATAACAAAAAATTATATATAAACAAATATTCAATATCAAGTTTTACATTTTTGTATGATTTTAGAAAAATGAAATAATTGTATCTACAACTATGTAGATACACTTATGTAATGTTTATAATATGTTTACGTGCTCGATTAGTGTTTATAGCTGTTGGGTTTCCGCATTGAGCGCATTGGTTTTCGGTTTATAATTGCTTAGATAAGCTAAAGAACAAAGTGTGTTTATATTAAGAACTCTTTTATGAGATTCATTAAAAACAATCATAAATATTTGGTATGATTGAAGTAGGGAATTCTGTCAATAAACAGACCACTAGATCATTTATTCTTATTCTTCAGTAATTGATGAAAGAGAATAAAATTGAAGTTAAGAAATTTTTCTTCTTTTATTGATTGTTTATAAAGTTTAATATTTATCGGATTTAATAATGTGTTTTTTAGAACACTTAATAAAGAAGAAGTTTTTGGAATATCATGCTGGAGTTGAACCGTCAGATTCTTTAGTGTCTGATTTGTTAATCAATTTTTAACAAATCCAATAAATATTATTTGCAATACCCATATCTAGTACCACATCTAGTACTTTCTTAAGTTCCCAATAGTCACAAACAATAACAGTATAAGATTTCCATAACTCATATGGACAGCTTGGTGCTCACTTTTCTAGTTATCGTAGACATGGTAAACCATTGACAGGTAATTATCTTCATAAGTTGGAAGGAAGAAGACAACCGAAGCAGAGGAACATCACATTTATTTTATACATAAACGAGTTTGCACTTTGAAACTGACACCCGACTTTAAGTACCAGAATATCCGATTTTATTCTAAAATTCAATCGAGCATTTATCTATTTTATTTTAGATGGAAAAAGACAATCACTTTTAATAGTCATTTGATTAGAAACCAACTCCATTTTTTCGCCGTGAGTTACTCATAAGAAAAAAGTTCCACTTCTAACTCGCCGTTTGTTTAATCAATAAAAATATTACATTTTTGTTTTTGTAATCAGTTTCAAAATTTTATTACTTTAAACTGGATATCTCGAGAAGTAAGCTACATCGGCATATTGTGTAGAGACAAAATTACTCAAAACAGTCTATTCTACTAAAATTTGTCGTTCAATCGGCGTGCCCCAGAATATCGGATCCCGCTAAAAATGTTATTGTTTTCCTTTTTTGATAACGAAATATATTATACAAAGTTAGTCGGATCAAATGAAAATCACTATATTCATATTTTCTGTTTAATCATCATATAAGACTCTACATTTAAAGTTTTTTAATTAAACTAAAGCATTTTCGTCATTATGCCATGCATCTCGAAATCGCGAATAATATCGCTAAGTAATATCACTCTTTTCGTCTCTATTGTTTCTCTAGCCGAAGTATTTAACTAAGCTAATACGACAAAGCAGCTTCGAATATAATTCGGTTGGTAAAGTAAGCTTATAGTACATATAATTATTTGTGTCCGTAATGTAAGTCTCGTGTTATGTCCGCAATCCCTTTACTGGCGCTGCTTCTAAAAGGATTGAATTTCTAACTTCTAGTAAATAATTTTTGTGATTATCTCGAATCACTTTTATCCAAAACTTTTATAGATAACATAGTGATTTTATATCAAAATTTGAATGAACTGTCTATAGTTATCGTCTTTATATAGTTTCTGCTGTGTTTTATTACGGATTTTATTTTTTGACAAGTAAATTCTACTTGCAGACTATTAAAAATTAATCAAGAATTTAGTCTTTTGATTCAAATTCTTCAAAAAGCATTACCATATTAACAAAACATACTCGGGGCCTATCTTTCTTTTCATATAAATGTTTATTAAAGATAAGATAGTTGATAATTATATCAAAACTAACTAGCCAAACCTGTCACAAAAATATAATCTAAAACTATAGTTTAATAGCCAACAGATGGCGTAAATTAATTTTATATTATTATGCATAAAATTAGATTTAGCTTTCTAATTTTAATATTTAAAATTAAATATTACAAATAATATTTCTATGATATCATTAATAAATGACAATATATTATAATAAAGTTATATATAGCAGTTATATTAATTATAATAAAGTAGACTTTAAACGGAGTAAGAGAAATAGTCCCTGACCTTCTGTACATTTGATAACTTTCTCATTGCATTTTGAAGCCTAGCAAATATATGTATAACAGATAATTTAGTTTTTTTTATTTATTTATTTTTAATAATGTTTACAGTTCGTCTTCAATTTCTGCAATTTCTTGCATCTTCATCTTCATAGGCAAAAAATTCAAATATTTGCAGAGAAGAAATCAGATATGAGTGAATGCACTTTATCATGTTTCACTTATTAACACGATTTGTGTCGTCAACGTGTGATAAGTGTCTGGTTCCAGTTGTTAAGTAGGTAAATGAATCACACCAACGTAACGCCACATCACACATCACACACTACATAGACTATACACACTATGTACACATAGTGACTACAAGTATATATTGCATAGTGCTCTATGCGGTATACGGTGAAGCAGAAATTTGCAATAAGCGATACTAAATCTAAAATTATCTTATCGTACTTTCGGTTTTAGTGTTAATTCAAATGAAGGTCTTCACAAGCAGAAATCATGGTTCTAAATATTTGTATTTAATCTATGAGTAAAGTAAAACAAGAGCACTCACTCGTATTTAGATAAACGACTGTTAATAAATAAAGAGAAAGATCGCCTACTTTTGCCATGGTAGACAGAAAGCATTAGATTGTCAGTCCGGGTTCAATAATTGTTAAAATTAATATTTTATTATTTTAACATTTAAGGTCGTTAAAATTTAGTTAAAGTATTTAAAACAGGAATAATTTGCATTTGCAAACACGCATTTAATCAAAAATAAACAAGTACACAGAAGACGTACGAGATAAACTTGCAAATATTATTGAGGTTGTTGTTTCTTTATCTGCATTTTAAGCTGTGAACTGACATATGAGTATAAAATAATAAAATTTTTATGTATGAATGTATATGTATATGTATAGACATCTGAACAATTTGGATACTTTTTTTTTACAGACTATAAAGCATCTTTTTATATCTCATATCTTAACACGATTAAATTCAAGAGTAAATGGTTTTAGTTATTATCTATCTATATTTTTGAATCTGATACTTTAGGAAATGTTAGATAATATCACATTTGATTTTAGATAAAATCAAGAATATTCAAGAGTAAATGGTTTTAGTTATTATCAATAAACTTTTGAATCTTATTATTTAAGAAAATGTTAGATAATATCGGATTTCATTTTAGATGAAATCAAGAGTATTCAAGAGTAAATGGTTTTAGTTATTATCAATAAACTTTTGAATCTGATTCTTTAAGAAAATGTTAGATAATATCGGATTTCATTTTAGATGAAATCAAGAGTATTCAAGAGTAAATAGTTTTAGTTATTATCAATAAACTTTTGAATCTGATTCTTTAAGAAAATGTTAGATAATATCAATTTTAATTTTAGATAAAATCAAGAGTATTCTAGAGTAAATGGTTTTAGTTATTATCAATAAACTTTTGAATCTGATTCTTTAAGAAAATGTTAGATAATATCACATTTGATTTTAGATAAAATTACAAATCACAGAACTCATAAACACATTATCATGTCCAACATGATCAATAAGACAGTGAAAGTTTATTAAATGGAAACTCTCATAATAGTCCCAAGTGTTCATTTTACATATAAATATGTTTTTTTTAAAAAGACACTTATTTTAACTGAACAGAGTTGAAGGAGCGAAATCAATATTTACTTACTATTAATTCTTATGACTTTCAACTCATTTTTTTTGTATTAAATAAAAAAATATTTAACTACTTACATTTACTGTACATATATGCTCCATATAATATATAGCTAATATATATATATATATATATACATATATAAGCTACATATAAGACTCTAAAGACCTAAGGTCATCCAAACATTTCATTAAAGTCAATAACAAATACAGGTTATTAACATATTACTATACATATAAGCTACATATAAGACTCTAAAGACCTAAGGTCATCCATACATTTTATTAGAGTCAATAGCAAATACAAGTTATTATACAGGTTTTATACAGGTTTTACACAGAGAAAAATGGTTTTTCAGTTTAAATAGAGCTGAACTTAGATTAATCACTAGTTTCTTAACTGAACATACTACTGTTTGCTACCACCTTTTAAAGATAAGATTAAACGACAACGATATCTGCAGTTTCTGTAAAATACAGACTGTTACTTACGCCCATCTTATCTGCTTATCTTACGACCTTCATTAAATCAATTACAGTTTGAGATCTAAAAGCATAAGACATTTTTAGATCTATCAACAGATTAAATTTTTTCAAGTTAACCTAAAAAACTTTCTCCTGCAATAGCACAATAGGTAGATCTTATATTCGACAATCTACCGTAGTCCTAATAATTACAATATCTATATAGATATATTATCAATTAATTTATTTACAATTTGATCAAGTTTTTAAAATAAACACTAAGCTGAAAACACCATAACATTACACTTATTAGACATTAAAGTTGCTATTTTTGCGATTTTTATTGTGGTTATAAAAACAGACGATAAGCAGTAAGAGATGTAACATTGTAACAATAATAAAACCAGACTAAACATCCGGTGAATACGGAGAGCTGGTTGATCTTACTAACACATCGACATCACTACAAATATCCATTATAAAAACAAATAGCAACTATAAAAGAGTATTTCGTTCTATTTGAGAACAAAATACTACCCAAGTTATTGTCAATAGATGGTGTTATTCCTTATATATATTTTTAAGTGCTCTTTATTTTTAAATATCCTTTTTTTATTCTTTAAAGTATTGATAGTTCTCGATAGATGGACTCACTAAAAGCACATTTTTTAAGTCTTATTTATTTTTGATCGCCCTTTATATAAAAATATAGTCTGCAAAATAAAAAC